TTTTGTAAGATGTAATATGAATGGATCAGAATTCGATAATGTAGATATTAGCGGAGTGAACTTAAATGGGGCATACTTACATAATTGTAGATGGAAGAATTTAAAAATACATGAATTGAATTAAATAGAAGGTCATAGTGGATCAGTCAAATCGGTATGCTTCTCTTCTGATGGTACTACTTTAGCATCTGGTAGTAGTGATAATTTTATTCGTTTATGGGATGTTAAGACAGGATAATCAAAAGCCTATTTCGGTGGTCTTAGTAATGGAATCCTATCACTCTGCTTCTCTCCTGATGGTACTACTTTAGCATCTGGTAGTAGTGATAATTTTATCTGTTTATGGGATGTTAGGACTAAAAAAAAAAAAGCTATATTAATTCGGAATTTTAGTAAAATCTACTCAGTATGCTTCTCTCCTGATGGTACTAAATTAGCATGTGGTGGTGATAGTGGAAATTCTAATCCTGGTAGATTTAACTCAATTCATTTATGGGATGTCAAGACTGGATAAATAACAGCCCAATTAAATGGTCATAGTGATATAGTCAAATAAGTCTGCTTCTCTCCTGATGGTACTACAATAGCATCTTGTAGTGATGATAAGTCTATCCGTTTATGGGATGTTAAGACAGGCAAATAAAAAGCTGAATTTAATGGACATGGTAGAGCTCTCAATTCAGTCTGTTTCTCTCCTGATGGTAGTGCATTAGCATCTGGTGGTGAAGATAAGATTATCCGATTATTTGATGTTAATACAGGATTATTAAAAGCCAAATTTGAAGGTCATACTCATGGAATCTTATCACTATGCTTCTCAAATGATGATTCCACATTAGCATCTGGTAGTTTAGATAAATCTATCCGTTTATGGGATATAAAGGCAGGATAATAAATAGAAAAATTGAATGGTCATAATAATCAAGTTCTATCAGTATGCTTCACTTCTGATGGCACTACACTAGCATCTGGAAGTTATGATAAGTCAATCCGTTTATGGGATGTGAAGACAGGATAATAAATAGGAAAACT